CTCCACATCCTCCAGAGCCGACTCAGAGGGCCCCTCGCTGTCGGAGTCTGTTGGCAGCTCCAACGGCTCCTGCTGGGCCACAACACAGACCTCGAAGGATTTTTCTTCTCTAATGGCAGAACATTAATATTTCCAGTTCTTACCATCATTCTTGGCACGTGGGAGTCAATACACATTGACCTTTTCAACAAAAGGTCTCCATAGCTTATCTGTGCTCTATTCCACACATTTGGAAAACTGTTTCAAAACAGATCCTCAAATCCAGTTAGACGAGTTAACAAGACAAGGCAGATTCAACATATGCCTTATTTAATTAGAGAAATACTGAGTTTGGTAATCCTCAATCCCCCTCCTTTTCCCTCTTAATCCAAGTAAATTACACTTTTGATTTCCTGGGTTAGAAACAGATAGAAGAGACGAAGAAGTCAAAATCTGGTCAAAATGTGGCCAAAGGACCTCTCCATCCATCATTTATGGTCTATAGATAGAGAAGATCCCTCATGTTTCAGGTTCAAATTCTCCTTCCTTTTCTATTTTCCTCCCTTCAAAACCATTCGGTGGTTTTAGAAGGTTTCCTTCTAAAACCCAAACGCTTACTAGATCATTTTCAGCTTTCCCCAGTTGCTATCTTTTTGATCAATGCATTCTGCAGCATCGTTGTGAAAATAAATTAGAGAGTTTGCAGAAGATCTATGGTTGCAGTTGTAAAGGGTTTTTTCCCCCAGATTAAGAGGACAATGTTTTATAGACATAGATTAGAAGATAATTCTAGAGAAAACACTGACCTGGATTTGTCCTTCTTTCTTATGGATCAGAGTCAGTTTGAATCCGTAGACCTCCACAGATACTTGTTTAATTACGGAGACTTTTCCATTCCCCCAAGGCTCATTTATTGCCGTGATGGTAAAGGGAGTCAGACCACTTGTGTTTTCAACGGTAGTCTTAGCTAGGATGTAAGAGCAGGTGCCTTGGAAATCAAAGGGGACTCCGTCAAAAGTGAGATAATGAGGATCTCCGGAAGCCGAGCAAGTGGCTGAACTCATTGGGTGGCATTTTTGGACTCCGCCCACCACTTTGCATTCTTCATTGGGCCCGCAGGTGATTTTGTGGCAGGTGACAGCTCCACCACCTTGGCACGTACACTTCATATCGCAGTTACTGGTTGGGTAGAAGGTCTGTCCACTCATATAATACTGGTCCTGATAGGTGCAACCACACTGATGCAGAGGGACGCAACGGTCACCACTGAGCACAAAGCCTTCATCACAGACACACCCTTCTGTGCAGTAGGTGGCGCAGGGCAGAGATGAATAGAGACTATCGCACGTCTGTTGACAGCTTCTGGAACAGAGTTCATAATGGCTGTTTGGTGGACATGAAAGTTCTGAAATGGGAAAATGAGAAAATATATTGACCATCTTTTATAAGTTTGGTTCCAGTGNAAGGATCAGGCGCCTCCTGGTGGCCAACCAGCCTCTCTGCGCCCTGCTCAGAGTCAGAATCCTGTCCAGGGTCCTCCACATCCTCCAGAGCCGACTCAGAGGGCCCCTCGCTGTCGGAGTCTGGTAGCAGCTCCAACGGCTCCTGCTGGGCCACAACACTCTCCTAACCATACCGATGGGCTAGGAATCCGTTGGCGACGTCGGTTTTTCCAATCCGAATTCAAGGGGGGGTCTAACGCTAACCCTAATTTGGTTTTTCCTTCTATGGGATTTCCCCATGTATTTTACCCGGAAGCTTAGAGGGGGGTGGGTTTGAAAAGACGACCCCTCCCTCCTAACCATACCGATGGGCTAGGAATTCGTTGGCAACATCGGTTTTTCCAATCCGAATTCAAGGGGGAGTCTAACCCTAATTATTTTAGCTTCACCTTTGATCGTTCCCAGCTTTCCTGAGAATTTGGGGGTTTGTATCAGGCCAGGATTACGGGGTACAGTCCCAATTGATATTGAAATAGATATTTTCTTTGGGAATCCAAGATTCTTTCTTTCTGCAGGACGCCCCTGCGGTGTTGACCTTCGCCATCGACAGCGTTGAGAAGAAAATCCTGCTGTCCACCATGAAGGGGACGTGTTCCGAAGAGCAGGTGAGGGTCACGGCCGGTGGGTCTGGCGTGTCCGAATTTGGCCTCTAACGCTCGTTTGTGGGGGGAGGAGGGGGGGTTGAGCGCCTTGTTTTCAAAGCCTCTTTTGTCTTCTGTGAATTTCTGATGAGCGTCACCCCTGCGAGGCAGTCCAGTAAGAGTGTATTAGTTCCTGTTTTTTTAGCAGAAACTCAGCAATCTAGAAATACAAGTAATGCTCTACTTAACAACCGTATATCCCTTTCAAAGTTGCAACGGCACTAAAAAAAGTAACTTACGTCTGTTTTTCACCCTTCTGACCTGTGACCCCGGGACACTGACACCGTCATATCTGTGAGTCCCCAGCCATGGGGATGCGTGACAGCCGACTCACATTTATGACGGTTCCAGTGTCCAGTTTTGCGACCTTCTAACAAGCCCAACATTTCCGTTGCTAAGCGAGGCATCCGTTCCGTCTGTTTTGCCCCACTTTACGACATTGCCCCTGTTGTTAAGTGAATCACGGCCGTTGTTAAGTTAGTCACATGCCTGTTAAGTGGATCCGGCTTCCCCAATCACTTGTCTTGTCAAGAGAGGGAAATTACATGACCTCCGGGACACCGTCATAATTGTGAATCGGTTGCCCAAGCGCCTGAAGTTTGATCCACGCGGATCATGTGGGGTCGTATTGCAACAGTCGCAAGAGTTCGAAAACGGTCGTAAGTCCCTTTTTTGAGTGCTGCGGTCACGCCGAACGGCGCACGTTTGAGGGAAAACGCGGCCTTCCGATTACTGAGAGATTCAGAGCTGGGAAACTGTATAAAATCAAAGTGAGGAAAATCTCTAGTCCAGTGGTTCTCAACCTTGGCGACTTTAAGTCCTGTGGACTTCAACTCCCAGAATACCCCAGCCAGCTGGCTGGGGAATTCTGGGACTTGAAGTCCACAGGACTTAGCTGGCTGGGAAATTCTGGGAGCTGAAGTCCCCAGGATCTAGCTGGCCGGGGAATTCTGAGAGTTGAAGTCCCCAGGACCTAGCTGGCTGGGGAATTCTGGGAGTTGAAATCCCCGGGACTTAGCTGGCCGGGGAATTCTGGGAGTTGAAGTCCCCAGGACCTAGCTGGCTGGGGAATTCTGGGAGTTGAAGTCCCCAGGACTTAACCTGCTGGGGAATTCTGGGAGTTGAAGTCCCCAGGACTTAACCTGCTGGGGAATTCTGNAGAGGAGGATTTGGCCTGCCTAATTGGGAATTATACTACCAGGCAACAACCTTGATGTGGATTAAGGAATGGATAACGCTAAGAAATTCTAGATTATTGACACTAGAAGGACATGATTTGTTGTTGGGAAGGCATGCTTTCTTGTGGTACAAGGGAACTAAAACACAGGGGTACTTCAGAAGACATTATATACGTGAGGCTTTGTTATTAAACTGGGAGAAGATTAAATGGCATTGTTATTTAAAAATTCCAGTCTGGTTATCAACTATTGAAGCTTTTTCATACCCAATAACATATAAAAAGGAACAAACAGTTAGATATGGTGAAATATTGAATGCAAAGGGTGAATTTAAATCTATGCAAGAACTGAAAGAACAAGGTATAAGGATGTATACTTATCCTTTTTGTCTTACGATTTGTCAGAGAGTTCTTTATGCAGCCATGCTGGTTTCTTTTGAGAACTGTTATTTTTCTTCTTAATTGGTATTGTGCTAGACTGAGCTTTTATAATCCCACTTTTCAAAATTTCCCACACTTCTTGAGTTGTTTTCCCCTTGAGGATTCTCATCCATGGAATCCTTCCCAAGCTCCCTCTAAGTTTATTGAAATTAGCTCTCTTAAAGTCCAAGACTCCAAGCTAATCATGAACATCTCATGATTAGCATGTATATTGTTCCAGTTGTTCTGTTCTGAAAAACTAGCAGATCTTGAGATCACTACTTGCTTAGTACCATCTGTTAACCTGTAGCCCTTCGTTCCTGGCTCATACCCAACAAACCAAAGCTTTCTGGCCTTTGTCTGACCTTTTCTCCTAGTAGCTTTCGGGATATGCACCCAAGCATAACTACCAAATGTTCTTAAATGAATTAAGGAAGGTTTCTTTTTATGCATCAAAAAATATGGTGTTTCCTGTATTGCCTCACTCTATAACCTATTAACAATATAATATGCTGTCTTTATGGCTTCTCCCCAGTATGCTTTACTCATGCCTGCATCAGCAAGGAATGCCTGTTTCATTATCTGTAGCAAACCATGTCTTCTCTCAGACACACCGTTTTCAGAAGATGAATATGGATTTGTTTTTCTGTGCTGTATGTCTAGACCGCTTAACCACCTTTGAAACCTCTCAGACATAAACTCTGTTCCCCTGTCTGTTTGTAACTGGCATACCTTACATCCATGCTGTTGTTCTACAAGTGTTACTCATTTCCTAAATTGTTGCAATACTTCAGTCTTATTTTTCAGTAAATAACAATATCTATATCTACTGTAACCATCTACTATTACTAAGGCATATCTCGTTCCTCCTAAAGAGGGTGTCATAGGACCAACCAAATCAGCATGAACTAATTGTAATACCCTGTTTGTAGTTCTTGCACTCTTCTTACTTACAGGATACATTTTGGCTTTTGATTTCTTACACACAGTACAATCCAAATATACATTACATTTCTTTAACTTCAGTCCCCAAGTTATGTCTGGCATCCTTTTCAATACTTTAAAACATGCATGCCCCAATCTTCTATGTAACAGGTGTATACAATTGTCATTCTTAAGTAAACATGCACAATTATTTTCTTCCATTCCCAGAATGTACAGACCATCCTTTTTAATCCCTTTTGCACATACCTGTCTCTTTTTCTTAATGGTATATAGTCCCCCAGCAAATACTATTTCATAACCCTGCCTGTCTAACATGGACATAGTCAACAAATTGTGCTGTAAAGCAGGTACATATAACACATTGTACAATGTAGCATCTATTTCTGGTACATACACATTACCTTCCCCTTTTACAGCAGCTCTCTGTCCATCAGCCAGACTAACCCATGTTTGCCTTGCTGGTTTCAAACCAGAAAACACATGTGGATCGTTAACAATATGCTGGCTCACCCCACTGTCCAACAACCACATATTACTTGTGAGTTCAGTTGTTGACGCTGTCAGGGAAAACTACACTGGAGAACTGCTCCACCTTCGCTGATTAGATCTGCACCCTTGTCTCGCTTCTCTGTTTCTCCTCTCAGGACAGCGTCTTTGGAGTTGCTCAGTAGAACTACACGTGTAGCATCTCTTCACAAAGTTAACTCTCTCATTTGCTCTGCTGGCATCCTCGACTGTTGCAAATGCTGGACTGTGCTGAACGCTCTCTCCTCCCTTTCCTAGTCTTTTCTCCAGCCATTTCTGCTACTCCTCCAACAAGCGACCAGTTAAATATGCCATAGTCAAATCCTGTTCTTGCATGGACTCTAGACTAGTCACAAGAACGTCCCATGAACTTTCCAAGGAACTAAGCTTAGTACCATCTGTTAACCTACACCTTGTGTACTTCAGTAAATGCCATTCTCCTTTCTTCCAACTCAAGGAATGTCCTTCTCATATTCTGCAAATCAGAGGTGGGTTCCTACCAGTTCGTACCGATTCGTGGTTTGGCGGCCTGGGTCACTGGAACCGGCAGCGACCCAGGCCTCCCACGCCCCTGAACTGTTTTTTCTGCTCCCGTGCTCTATGGAGCCCCAAGATTGTGCGTCCATTTCACCGCGACGTCACCGCCAACTTTCCTGAGGCTGGAGGGTGGAGCTACTGGCTGCAAGAGGGGAGTCAAAGAGATTAATAGGACTACAGTAGTGGCCTATTAGAACCCTAACGGCACGTGAATCATATATCTATAAACCAAAATTAGCAATAATACATTCTGGGTTATTGCGCTTGAGACTGTGATTTTATTTTATTTCAAAATGACCGGCTTAGTTCAATGTAATAGTTGTTTTGCACCTGTCTTTCGCAATACTCTTTTCAAATTTGGATACTGTCCCCTTTGTAAACTAATTACTAGACTACATAGACACATTACACTACCGCAAAGATCCCTCAAGAGAAGAGCAGTCTGGACAACTGTGGGATCTGACAGAGTGACAGCTGTGAACCATGAACACAAATCTTTTGCTGTGTCCCAGCATAACAGATATAGTGCCCTTGTTGACCTTAATGGGGACACTAAAGTGACAGGTCAAGGTAGTTGTGATAATGATGACTCAAATAAGCAGGGAATCGTGGTCCAAAATGAAGAACTTACTTCAGAAAGGCGAAAGTGTGAATGAGG